AAAATTTTTAAAAAGGGGGAAAAATAAAATTTTTAAAAAAAAAGGGGGGGGGAAAAACCCCCCGGGGGGTTTTGGGGTTTTTTTTTCCAAAATTTTTTTTTTTTTTTCTTCCAAAAAAAAAAGGGGGGAAAAAAAATTTTTTTTAAAAAAAAATTTTAAAAAATTTTTTTTGGGGAAAAATTAAAAAAGGGGTTTTTTAAAATTTAAAAGTTTAAATTTTTTTTTTTTGGGAAAAAAAATTTTTTTTTTAAATTTTTTAAAAAAAAAATTTTTTTTAAAAAAAACCCCCTTTTTTTAAAAATTTTTTTTTTAAAAAAAAATTAAAAAAAGGAAAAAACCCCAAAAAAAAAAAATTTTTGGGAATTAAAAATTTTTTTTAAAAAAAAAATTTTTTTAAAAAAAATTTTTTTCTTTTGGGGGGAAAAAATTTTGGGGGGGGAAAAAATTTGGGTTTTGGGGTTTTAAAAAAAAAAAAAAAAAAAATAAAGGGAAAAAGGTTTTTTTTAAAGGGGGAAAAAAATTTTTTTTTTCCTTTTAAAAATTTTTAAAAATTTTTTTTAAAAAAATTTCCCCCTTTTTAAAACCAAAAAAAAAAAAATTAAGGGGGTGGAAATTTTTTAAAAAAAAATGGAAAGGGGAAAAAAAAAAAAATTGGGGAAAATTTTCCTTTTTTGGGGGTTTTTAAAGGAAAATTTTTTTTTTTTTTTCCCCAAAAACCAAAAAAAAAGGAAAAAAAAATTTGGGAAAAAGGGGGGGGGGGGGGGGGGGGCCCCCCTTTTTTTTTGGGGGGAAAAAAAAAATTTTTTTTAAATTTTTTTTTTAAAAAAAAAAAAAAATTTTTAAAAAGGGTTTTCCCTTTTTTTTAATTTTTGGGGTTTTTAAAAAATTTGGGGGTTTTTTGGGGGGGGAAAAAAAAATTTTTAAAAAATTAAAAAAATTTTTTTTCCCAAAGGGGGTTTTTAAAAAAAAAAAACGAAATTTTAAATTTTTAAAAGGGGGAAAAAAAAAAAAAAAAAAAAAAAAAAAAAATTTTAAAAAAATTTAAAAAAAATTTTAAAAAGGGTTAAAAAAAAAAAAAAAATTTTAAAAAAAATTAAAAAGGGGGGGAAAAAAAAAAAATAAAAAAAATTTTTGGGAAAAAAAATTTTTTTTTTAACAAAAAAAAAAAACCCCAAAAAAAGGGGGTTTGAAAAAATTTTTTCCCCCCAAAAAAATTTAAAAAAATTTGGTTTTTTCCCCAAAAAAACCCTTTTTGGGGGGGGGCAAATTTTGGGGGGGGGAAAAAAAAAAAAAAATTTTTTTTTTTTTAAAAGGGGGGGATTCCCTTTTTTTTTTTTTAAAATTTTAAAAAGGGGGGTTTTTTTTAAAAAAGGGAAAAAAATTTTGGGGGGGTTTCTTTGTTAAAAAAAGGGGGGGGGGGGGGTTTTTTTGGGGGGGGGGAAAAATTTTTTTTTGGGGGCCCCCCGGGTTAAAAGGGGGGAAAAAAAATTTTTTTTAAAAAGGTTTTTATTTTTAAAGGGGGTTAAAAAAATTTAAAAAAAAAACCCCCCCTTTTTTTAAAAAAAATTTCCCCCAAAATTGGTAATACTTTAGACAGGTTAGGTGAAATTTTGCTATAGATGTGCTTCAGACCAAAATGGGCAAGGGTCCTGAAAATATGGCACTTTGAAAAACTGACATCTGATCAAAACTTTGTATAAATGGCTACTTTATAATAAACTGCAATAAAGGAAAAATAGTCAAAAAAAAAAAAAATTTAAATTCTTCATAGTACATATACTATCATACTAGCAGTATCGTGAATCATACCCAAAAGCTAGTAACAGTAACCAAAAATCTTAAATTACATCCTAATCACAATAATACATGAAAGCCAGAAAATATAACTTAAACAACTAAAAATTCAATGTGCAGTCAAGATAAAAATTTTACATTCAATGCATAAAAATAAGGAAAGAGGTATACAATTTATACTTACTAGGTTCAACAGAAAATAAGTTATCTGCCTACACTATAAAAGGGTTGAACAAATATTTTAAATATGGTACCATCTATTTAACTCGTAAACGGTCCGAACGTATATATACGTTTTTTCAACATTTGAAAGTATGTAAAAAATGTAGATCTTCTTTTTGTTTCTTTACATTTGAAAATGTGTAAAAAAACTTTGATCTACTTTCTTTTTTTTTTGTTATATTTGAAAATATGTAAAAAAAACGTAGATCTACTTTTGTACCACTACAAGTGAAAAAACTTCTACCCATTATGGTTAAAACACATCAAAGTAGGGAAACCAAGATTCTTCATTTACTGATAGGAAAAACTTCCCCCAAAATTTGTTTTATTAACACCCAACCAAGGCTAGTGGCCAAAAAGAAAACTTTCACCATTTACTATCACATTTCTTATAAGTTGTTTCCTGTATAAATTACAAGAATACCTTTAAAAACTATTTATGAAGATTCACATTTTGTAACACTCCCCCCTCTCACAGTGCGATTCGTAGAGGTGCCTATCTTTCTACTTTAACCCTTTGACTGTCGCAAGCTCCTTTCTGAAACTGTCATTCTATATCGCAAAATTTTTGAGAAAAAAAAAAAATTCTTATGATAGAGAATCTTTTCCTGATGGTAGCGACACCAAAAGTACGAAATTTGGTTGAAAACTCACGGAATTACTCTCCCGCGAAGTTAGCGGTCTCGGCGACATACAGTGGACCCCAGAGTTTCATGATTAATCTGTTCCAGAGAGCCCGCTGAAGGTCGAAATTCACTAAACTCTAAACCATTTTCCCCATAAGAAATAATGGAAATAAAATTAATCCGTTCCAGACACCCAAAAATATTAAAATATTTTTTTTCAAATTAAATAAAGATTTACATAATGAAAACAATCAGAAATCAAGTAGTACATGCATTTAAAATAAATAATAATAACATTACACTTACCTTTACTGAAGACTTCTGGGTGGATGGAAGATGGGAGGTGGTGATAGGAGGAAGGTGTACACTATTGTCTGGAAGGAGAATCTCCTTCCATTAGGACTTTAGGTAGCAAGTCCTTATCTGGGGTTACTTCCCTTCTTTTAATGCCACTGGGAACAACTTGAGAGTCACTGGACCCCTGGTGCACAAAATATCTATCCAGAGAGGTCTTTTTCTGGCGTTTCTTTAAGATTTCCCTAAAGTGGGACACAACAGTCATTGTACATGTTGCAGATACGGCTTGTTTCAGCTTGGTCAGGGCGATACTTTTCAACAAAGCTTTGCAACTCATTCCACACACGTCCTTAATCACTGAAGAAGGCACCTCATCCACTCCATCTTCCTTCTTCTCTGAAGAAAGTTCCTCGGCTGTGGTCTGATGCTGTTCCAGTTGAAGCTCTTCCAGTTCGTCAGCGGTTAGCTCTTCCCTGTGGTCCTCCACCAACTCTTCCACATCCCCGTCACTCACTTTATTTACCAAAGGGCTTGCACTAGCTTTCCTTGGGTCCATGATGACTTATTTAGCAGTTGCAAGCACAAAAAACAATGGATTATTATGAAATGTATTGTATGAACCCGCGGGGTGATGGTCACGTGTTGGTAAACAATGGCACACTGAGCGTGAATGGCGTGGGAGACTGGCTTTGTGTGCGCGGTGACGGGCGGATGGGTACCAGACGGTCGCCGAAACACGAGTTTTTTCATGAAACTCGAGGCCAAATTTTTCCCAAAAAAACTCGCCGAAGGTCGAATTTCGCGAAAGTCGTGGGTGCCGAAACTCGGTGGTCCACTGTATATGCATCAGCAATTTCGCCAACTTTGAGCCCTGTTTTTGGCCAATTCTGTTGTTCCAGTTGCCCAAACTCATAGCTATTTCTTTAGAACTCCATTTTTTCTATCTGTTGAGTAAAAGAAACCTCCCATTTACCGATCTGAACTACCCAATAAAGTGGTCAGAAATTGGCAATTTGGCCAATTTCACACAAATTAAAGAAGATGCCAATTTCAAAATAGGGTCCAGAATAAACAATGTAGACATTCTTGGCACTAAAATAACATATCCTCTGTTCATTAGTCATGTCTCTAGGCCCCTCTTATATTACTATCGCTTTCTATTTTGTTTTTTTTATTCATACAATAAATACAAAATTTACAGTTATGCAGACTACTGCATTATTGTAAAAATGGTGAAATAATATCAGTGCACTAGTGAAAGAATATTAGACTCCCCAGTTGACGTGTATTGGACGTGTGGTGTTATTTGCCTACTCTTGAACATTGGTAAAAATCGAACATTTCCGCTACTTTGAGCTCAATTTCAAGGTCGTTTTCATTGTGAAACTAATCAAAATCATCTCTATTTCTGTAATATGTTTTTTTTTCATGAAAACAACAATACAACGATAAATACTATACGAAAATACACAGCAAAGTCGGCGTTTTAATCCAAAAAAAACGGTCAGGTTTTTTTCTCATTATGCACTGTGTGCTGCAGGATTTTTTTTATGTGGTGCACACTGACCACACACCCTCTCTCTCAGATGTGGGCCTACCAGCTTTCTCCTGCTTGATTTGAAGCCGCTAGAATTTATGCGTATAAATACGTCCAAAACAGTAGCATGCAAGACGTATATATACGACCAAAACAGTCAAAGGGTTAATACAGCTTGGACATCTGGTTAATCCTGGCATCCAGTTAACAGCTGTATGGTTACAACGACAACCACTACAGTATAACAATGAATTATTAACAAGTTTTACTGCTGTACATTATTGCGTACTGAATTATTAACAAGTTTTTTAACGTTAACCAATATTAATTTTTCCAACACACCGTGTGTGTTATTGTCAACTTCTTAATGCTTATAAATCCAATCACAAATGTCTAATTTATATCAGTTCAAAAATGGATTATGTATAACTATGGATTTGTCTAAATGCATAGTAATGCACATAAATCATTAACATATTTAAGCATCTGCAGATAATAAATATACTTAATAATTATCCTCCTACTAGCATAGAGTAATAAGGTAGCAGACATGATACAAAATTTCTTACCTCCAGCAAGCAGGTATGTGAAAGTTTTCGGCAGTTTCTGATTCACCAGCTTTGACATGGGTATCCTTAACAGAATTACGTCGATATGCACTAAAGTCTGGTACTTTGATATCCGTATGGGCATATCGTATTTGAGAGCTTGCTGAAACAGAAAATCTGTATGAATTGTTATAGACAACTTAAATAATTACAGACCATAGTTATGTAAGCCTGAATAAAAAAAAAATACCTTCCCAAAAATTAAACAAAAGCCTATTTAGGTTAGAACATTATGCCTAAACAAAATAACAGTAAAAATAACTTTGCAATGTTGATAAGTTGAAAAATCAATGGCAAACCAGAAGGGAAGTGTGTGCAATACCAGGTATGATACTGTACTTGCCAAATATCCCATTAGAGATATGAAAATTTATTCTTAATCTCAAGCTGAAATTTCACATAATCACTAGCTACGCTAATTAAGTTTATTTAGATGGCCCGTGGTCTGGTAGGTAATGCCCTTGCTTCATACGAGTGTCCGTGGTTCAATCCCTGGCACAGGTGGAAACATATTGGGTGTGTTTCCTTTACACCTGCTGTCCCCGTTCAACTAGCAAGCAAGTAGGTACCTGGGTGTTAGCTGACTGGTGTGGGTCACATCTGGGGAAAAAGATTGAGGACCCTAATGGAAATAAGACAGTCCCTCGATGACGCACTGCTTTTCTCAAGTTATCCTGGGTGGCTAACTCTCTGGGGTTAAAATCCATACAGTCTTATCCTGTCTTACATAGTAATACATAATTTACCCTGGATAACCAAAGAAAGTCAAATGACTTATTTCCACTGATTATTATTATTATATATTATCAAAAAGAAGCGCTAAACCACAAGGGCTATACAGCAAAAGTCCTTTAACTTTAATATCTAGTGGGGCATATATTTTTTCGTAATCATACAAGTCTGATAAAGTTCTAACACCACATAAATCCTAAAGTAAAAAAAAAAATCATCAATATGAAGAAAACAGAAGTATTTTGTTTTCTTTAAATGATGCTACAACCTTTCATCGTCTCGTATTTATCCCCAAGTGCAGCTCCACTACTGAGGATCAAGAGCCCTTCACCAGCATCAAGAAATTCAATATGAGGGGGACGGGGGTTGAAGGAAAAGTTGAAACGTATGAAAATTCTGACTATTAAATGAGATAAATATCCAACATGGCTGACGGTGGATCAGCTGATCAAAACATTCTCCACTCCCACTCCCGCCATATTTTACCTAATTTACGTGATTTTCATGTCTCTACTACGACGAAATAGCATTTACTTCGTACCTGCAACACCTGACTTAACAGTGAGAGGCCGTGAGGGGCAGATTTGGCCATGGTGGTGGTGGTGAGGACAGGAGGCTGGCTGGCCACAACCTCCACTTGCTGCCCATCAACTACACCCGGGATAATATTTCTCAGTCCTCCAGCCACTGCCTGGGACGTGCCCTTCAGGGTAGGGGCAAGCTGCCCACTCCTGCCAATATAAGACAACATATTGGTGGTAGGATGATGAGGAGCGGCTGTGCCGGTCTGGGGGAGAGGCTGGCTGACACTACCCGGCCTCAGCCGGACCTCAAACATATGAAACGCAACACTTATTTCGCCTTAATTTTATAAATAATAATCTTACAAATCAACAAATTTCATTTCTATAAAGTGAAGTGGAGTAGATTATGCAATTAGGGTAATTGGCATATATAAATTACCTTTATAGAGCCTCTTATTGTGGAAATAAGTTACTTTTTTTTTTTTTTTTTTTTGGGGGGGGGGTAGTATTTAGGTACAGGTGCATATAAATAGTCACACAAATTATCATGCATTGTAGCATATGTGCAAATTATCTAGGATAACCCAAAATAAAATCAGACATAGTGACTTATTTCCATTGGGGTCATGGTAGGTAATTTACACTATGTATGATAATTGTACTTATGTGTACCATACATGTGTACCTAAATCAACATATTTACAAGTACATGATACAACCAATATCGATATAGACCGAGCTCACATCAAGAAAAATACATATACCTTTACGATTAGTATATAAAGGTAAGCGTTAAACCCATAAGGATTATAACAAGAAAATTTTTAAGAATCCCAAAGGAGATAAGTCATTTCTTTACTTTTTTTGAGGTTATCCTAGGTCATATACACTTGTAAGACACTTGTAAACATCTAAAATTGTGTACTGTACTAAATAGACTTACTTCCATACCCTAGGTAAGTCTACATAATATAATAAATAATAATTAATAATAATCTTTGTTTCTACAGGTACAGCGACACAGCTTACACAAACCTAGAGATAAATTACACCTTAATGATCCTCAAGCTTCATATCTCGGCCACCAAACAATGTAACTGGTTGATAATGGTGGTCCAGGAGGGAAGTATTTGTGTGGATGGGAGGGAAGGTCAGCCATCAGTTGTGTGGTGACCACCAAACATTTAGGTTGTCAAAGGTGGTGGTAGAGGTTATATAGTATTCATCTAGGTGCCCAAATGATGGTCTTACATATATCTTCCGTTGTTGTGGTAATGGTGAGTATTATGATGGTGATGGGTGAGAGCTAACGTACTCTGGGGGGAGAAGAATGGGTGTCTAAAATGCTAGACCCATTACATATATTGTTCAGGTACCTTGACTGAACATATTGGGAAGTGTCATGTAGAGAAATATGGGGCCTTACTGTTTTGGGTTTTATATAAAATAACTATGACCCTTTTTATCTAGATTAAACTATATAAACTTTTTTTTGGAATGGATGGGGATTTAAAGATTCTGCGGGTTCTTTTCAGTTATTTGTAGTTTTGCTTTACCTAACAAAGGGAGAGGTAGGGGTACTAATCTTGTTATTTACAGGGGTTCAATCCCACGGTGGCCTCGTTCAGAGACATAATCTTGAAATTTATAATTGGATTAAGAATATCCCAATTGTTAGGTAAAACAATGCAAGCAAATTATCGTCCCTTCAGCCTGTGCTATGTGTCTTACCTAACAGTAACACTACGTAAAATTATTCTGGACTTAAGTGATGTATAGATGTAATACAAATGCTAAGTGATCCCCAAAAAAGTTATCGTTGCCCTGAGATTGCACCCAGCCATTATTTTTATTAAGGTCGGAAAATTTCACCCTTTTAGTTAGTTCTTTTGTATAATCGTAAAATTCCGGAGTGAAGCCAAAAAGGTAGTCATTCTAAGGTGGCTGAAAATTTGTATTCTTCGATGGCCCAATTATATATAATTAGGCTCGGTTGGCTCATTTCCCTTTTATTTTAATAAAATTTGCTTGTGCGACTCATAATCTTTAAAATTTTCGTATATTAAGTGCGATGAAGAAAATATGTTAAGGAAGTCCACTAAGGGAGTTACTGCTAGTATTCAGATGACTAATCGACACTAGTATAAAAATTTAGGCTCTTTGCTTGGCTCTTTTCTTTTCCTTTTAATAAGATTTCGCTTGCTCGGCAGAACTCAAAATTTGCTAATTTTTTTTTTTATTTATTTAAAACAGTGCGATACAAATGACAGAAATATATTAAAAAATACACGACAAAGATTACTGCACTAGAATCGCACTTAACCCGAGACCTAATAACGACACCATACAGTACAGTGGTAATACACACTACACAACACACACAAAACCATTACACATTACACACGCACACAACACACCGTATATTACAGAACACACACTACACACAACACACCAATCACAGTGAACACTCCCCACAACACATACACACACATAATACAGAACATCACCAACAAGACAACTTACCACACATCACACACAAAATTATAAGATACAATAAAACAGAGATAAAAACACAACACCACACATAACACACACTACACAACACACACATACACACATGACACACATCACACAAACAGAGCTCACCGCAACAACAACCACCCTATGCAGGATTAAACTACAACACACCGTATTACAGTGTACCACTCTCAAACATTAATTTTTGTTCGATTTTAACAGTCTTAACAGTTTCATTTATACTCAAACACAAAACACTGGGAAATTATGAAGATTGTACCATAAAACAATAAAAAAAAACCGCACAAGACACACACACACACACAAGCACACCCCATACACTACATGAGACTACATCAGGGACATTTCTAGGGGAGGTTTCGCCTGTCAAACCAAAGTTAACACATGAGATACTCAGGAATACAGGGGAGGTTTTTGCCTGTCAACACACGTTTTCAAAACTAAATCTAAGATCTCAGGTGCTTTAAAAGAGACCACTCTCAAAACATTTAATTT